TTGGGAGCTTCTAATATAAATTGTTCTTTTTTCTGTCTCTTCCATAGACTTATATTGCTTCTGGACCCTTCTAATTATCCATATTCTCTAAGTAAGTCTTCTGTCCTTGGATCCCTTAATTCTATGAACTGGGGAGATCTCATTCCTTTACCTTTCTTTGGAGTAACAGAACTGTATTATCAGTATCATCCTGGATATCTTTACCTGAATGTCTCTTAGATGCCCTAATGTTACAAATAAAATTCATTATTTCTATAGAACCTCTCTTCCCCATCCCCCCAATAATCCCCTCCAGAGGTAGAGAGGTAACTAAGATTTCTTCCTCACCCTCTCTGTCCACACCAATCTCTGTATGGTGCTAATTCCATGTCTATATTTTAAGCTTTTCCCCTGCATGCATAGTGCCTGTCTCATCATTTCTTCACCAGATAATCACCAATTCTCCTGTTTTTTATCACCACTTTGGTCTTGCTCTTTTCCAATCCATCCTCCACACTGAATTCAGAGTTTAAAATTTTTTGTCTTGCTCTTTTCCAATCCATCCTCCACACTGAATTCAGAGTTTAAAATTTTTTTCTATCAGTTAAATAGTTTTTGACTCTATAATATATGCATGCATAAGGTGCAAAACCAAAAAGTTAAAAAGGTACATAGGGAAATCTGCCCCTTGCACCTGACTTCTTGATCACCCTTTTCCCTTACCAAAGGCACCCATAGCCATCAGTTTTTTTGGTAAAGAAAGTAATTCTAAAATGCACCTACTTCACGTCTTCTGTGGCTCATCACTCTATAATGTCCAAATTGAGAAGTACATATGAGGCTTTTCAGGATTTACTCCTGTTTCTCTCGTTTCTTCTAACAAGTCCCTCTGTACATCCAGATTTCATCCCCCGTAACTAGTTTGTTCTTCCCTGAAAAGCCAAAAGCTTCTTTCCCTCTGGGATTTTGCACGTGCTCTTCCCTCTATGTGGGATGCCTTGTTCCCCAAGTTTCCCCACACCCCATGCCATCCTTCTTTGAGTACAGTGCACTACCCCTTACTATTCCCCTAAATATATTCAAGTTGAGGCCTTTATGGACCTCCACAGATAAAGGTTATGCCTTCCCTTCCTGAAACCCTTTTCAAAGGACATATATAGAGGGCTCCTGGCTGGCTCAGTTGGTGGAGCATGTGTCTCTTGATTTTGGGGTTGTGAGTTTGAGCCCCACGTTGGGTGTAGAGAGTACTTAAAAATAAAATCTTAAAAAAAAAAGGACCGTATATATGTTTTTATTGTAGCACCTATCACATTGCTTTGCCATGTTGAAGGCAGTACTGGGTTCCTTTGTTTTTTGAGTCCTCAGAGTCTAGCAAACTAATACTATTTGTTGTTTAATAAATATTGAGTATTAGTTACAGTGTAACTACAACTAAGCTAAGGACATATTAGGCTGCATTAACAGAAGTGTAGTACTTAGCATTTTTAGTTCTGGCCACTATATTTAGAGAAAGAGATTGAAGAAGTATAATACCCACCTGACAGTGTACAGTTTACTAACACTGTGATGGCCTTAACAAGAAAAGACCAAGAGAATGCACAGCTCCCTTGGACTCTCTGAAGGGCCACAGAGGAAACAGCTGACAGTCACTTAGCTTCCTCCTAAGACCAGAAGTTCTCCATCAGGGTGTTGGGTCACTGTGGTATGTCTTCACCCGTGCTGAGATGTACTGTGACTTAGTTGTACTAATAAAAGTTGAAGTACTGAAATCTGAAAACAATTTACCTTTCCCTCCCTCCTAAATTAGTGTGAAATCAAGGTTGCTTCTGTAAAGTCACTCCTGCCCACTTATATTCCAATATACTTTGCTTGAGATGGGGGTAGGGTTACAACTGATGGGTCTGGCATCTGGGTGTAAACCAATTTTCCTTACCTTCACTTCTACTGTGGGAGAGTGTTGAGCACGTGAAAACTATCTATCCTGGGTGGGAGGAATATAGAGAACTGTCACCCTAGACTATGAGCTCCTCAAGGGTAGGGACCATGAATCTTCATTTTGTATTTATCCACAGTGTCTGGCAGTGCTTGAAGAAAGAAAGGAGTGAGGGTTTGGGGATGGATCAATGGGAGAATGAAAGGAAGACAGGGTGGAAGAAAATGTGACAGAAACTTTTTTTTTTAAAGATTGTATTTATTTATTTATTTGACAGAGAGAGACACAGCGAGAGAGGGAACACAAGCACAGGGAGTGGGAGAGGGAGAAGCAGGCTTCCCTCCGAGCAGGGAGCCCAATGCGGGGCTCGATGCGGGGCTTGATGCAGGGCTCGATGAAGTGCTCGAAGCAGGGCTCAATGAAGTGCTCAATGCGGGGCTCAAACCCAGGACACTGGGATCATGACCTGAGCCAAAGGCAGATGCTTCATGACTGAGCCACCCAGGCTCCCCTGACAGAAACTTTTTAAAAGGAATGAAGGATAGAGAAAACGCAAAGGATTAAAGGAAGCTTATCATTTACCTTCCTAGAAACTGTTAATTGAATTCAGTTTTTAACTCATCATAAGAAAAAAAAAACAGCAATAAAAGCTGCTTAAACAGAGACCTGTTTGGAAGACCAAATAAGGTGACCTCTAAGTTCCTACTCAATCCTTTGATCTAAGATTCTAGGTTTTATTTCCCCAACAATGCTTTTGAGTGAATAGTGGCATTTAATGAATATGTATTACATAAAACTCTAATCTAAAATATTAGAACAGAAACAAACTGATGTTTTGGTTAAAAAAACTTTGTATTATTTTCTTAATGGGTTTTCATAGTTTCATGAAGCTCCTGAAGAGCTTGGCAATTGGTTTGTAAAATTCAGCTTCAGTTTGCTCCTTTGTAAGATGCTCTGTGGCTTAACCACGAAGGGCTGAGGTACGTTATGACTTTTTTCTTTTAGGTTAAAAGAAATAACAGAACTTTCCCAGGTCAAACTCTAGACATGATGCAAATTTAAAGTAAAGTAATTTAAGATGATACTTCAAAGTAAGGTACTTTTTTTTTTTTTTTCCCTAAGAGAATCCAGTAAGCTATTTCTGCTTGGTAGAGTTCTAAAATGCCTGGGCTGCAGAAATTCACAAGGCAAACAAGTAAAGGTGAAGAAACCAGAGAGTAAAAATTACAACAGTAACCACTGCCCAACCCCCAAATGTGTCAGTAATCAAAGACTTCTTAACTTCATGGTCCTTCAGACTATGTGCAGTCCATAATACAATAGAAACTGATTATCCAAGGCTAGTTGTAACTGTTGTAATCCTAAACTCAAGCTTTTGCTTCTCTTGCAGTGCCTTGCTTGGAACTAATGCATGTTACTTTGATTTCATAAACAGAAAGTATCTAAAAATCAGAGGAGCTGGGTAACTTTGATTAGGAACAAAAAGGATAACATTTTTAGTCTTACTTTTATATATATACACATATATATTTTATCTTTTTTAAAATTTTATTTATTTGACAGAGAGAGACACAGCGAGAGAGGGAACACAAGCAGGGGGAGTGGGAGAGGGAGGCTTCCCTCCGAGCACTCCCCCTGCTTGTGTTCCCTCTCTCGCTGTGTCTCTCTCTGAAAAAAAAAGTTTCTGTCACATTTTCTTCCACCCTGTCTTCCTTTCATTCTCCCATTGATCCATCCCCAAACCCTCACTCCTTTCTTTCTTCAAGCACTGCCAGACACTGTGGATAAATACAAAATGAAGATTCATGGTCCCTACCCTTGAGGAGCTCACAGTGGGAGTGGGAGAGGGAGAAGCAGGCTTCCCACGGAGCAGTGAGCCCGATGCTGGGCTCAATCCCAGGACCCTGGGACCATGACCTGAGCCGAAGGCAGAGGCTTAATGACTGAGCCACGAAGAGTTCAACTCTTTGCCCATTGACACTGGCCCAAATGCTATGACACTGCAAAACTGAGATCATATCTTGTTTTTTTGGACACTTCATTTTGCCCATGTCAGCGGAATACAACTAAGAAATGAATTGGCTTAAAAATTTAATACAAAGAAGCATACTTTCTCTACTTCCCCTGTAATATGGCACATCCCATTTGTATAGATAATAGACTAAATTTTACTCATTGCAAGTACAATAAATATTTGTCGATTGACTTGGTGTTTGCAAATATAAGCCTTGTTTTCATTTAAGTCTACATTTTATCGGTAATCTAAAAATATTAATTCCTATGTCTGTAATATCCCTTTCCTGAGCACACGTACGTTCACAGTATTCCCAAACTGCTCCTTCCAACAGAGTTTGCTTGGGAAGGAAATTTCAGAAAAGCATCCATAAGGAAAGCCCGATAACGCTGCTTGAGCTGTCAAGGTGCCCAATAGTAACTTACTGGTTCAGAGCAACAACAACAAAACAACAAAACAACAACAACAACAACAAAGAGCAGGGGGGATGGGTGGAAAAAGGGGAAACTCCATAGGAGATGCAAGTGACAACTCCCAGTGGCTTTTAGATTCCATCCGCACAGGGAAAATGAAAAGGTTAGAAAACAGTGACAGGGCGGTGTCCCCTGCCATGTTTCCATTCACGCCGCAGTAGTAACCAGCCACACAACTGCCTCACCCAAGTGGGCTTCCTCAGTGCCCAACTGTCCCCTCGGAATCGCAAGGAGAGCGGTACCCCTCCCCAGGAGTAACGATTAGGGAAGATCACTGCGGGCAGAAACTCCGCCACAGGGGAGAGCAGCCGAGGGGCTGCCTCCCTCCTCTGCAGTTCAGGAAGCCCTCTTCTGCGCGCTGGTGGGCGGGCGCCCCAGGCCGAAACGAAGCAGCGCGAGGAGGGGGGGCACCGGTGGCCCTCCCAGCGACCCCTGTCCGCCCCGCCAGGGGGAGCGTCTGCGCCGCGGCCGGCGGCGGGGACCCAGCGGGCGGCGCTGGGCGGTGGCTCGGCGGCGCTGCTGCCCTCCCGCGTCCCCACCCCCCTCCCTGCCCGCCCCCGGCGCGGCCCTGCCCGCCCCCTCCGCCCCCTCCCGCGGCGCCATGCGCAGACTCAGTTCCTGGAGAAAGATGGCGACGGCCGAGAAGCAGAAACACGACGGGCGGGTGAAGATCGGCCACTACATCCTGGGGGACACGCTGGGGGTCGGCACCTTCGGCAAAGTCAAGGGTGAGGACCCCTGGGGCAAGGTTCGGCCCCAGCCCGCGATCCGGGCGACTTCCGCCTTTCGCACCTCTTCATCCTCCCCCGCCCCGGCGTTCCTCTCCCAGGCTCGGCAGCCCCAGTGCTGGCTCCGGCGGGAGCGGAGTCAGAGGCCACCGCGGGACTGCGGCGCGACCCTCCCCGGCCGGGTGGGGGTGGGGACCGGTCGCCATGGCGACGGCGCCGCGGCCAGAGGGGCTTGCCAGTGCGAGGAGCGGGGATGCGGCAGTGCGAACTTTCCCAGGTAGGGCAGGATAGGGTCGCGCAGCTGCTCCCAGCGCTGGGTGGGGGCGCCGGGGTCTCGGCCCGGAGCCTTGGGGAGAGGGCCTCTTGTTCGCTGGGGCTGTGCTCGCTCGGCTCAGGGCCAGCCCATCGCTTCCCTGGCAGTCCTCAGTATTGTCCGTATTTCCGTCCTCTTTAGGAGGTTCTCGACTTACCTGCCGGGGCTGGCCAGTTCTCAGGTGTGAAATGTGTCCCCCCCCACCTCCCCCAAAAGTAAGCTTGCTTTGGGGGTAGTTTACAGAATTTTTTAAAAAGGGCCATCTCGTTGGGAAGGATGACTAAATTTTTTTCGGAACAGTTAATGAATGTGAACTGGTCCGTATTTGCGATGCATGGTTTATGTTCTGAATGCAGACTCCGTGCCTTCAGTGTTTCTGAATTATCAGTTTTGCAGACTGTGTGCCAAACCTGGTAGGTAGTGCAGATGTTGCCTTCAGATAGTATTTATTAGCTCATTAATGTAGTTCGTTTCCATTTATTTTCTCAGGATATTTATGTTTTAATAATTTAGTGCACATCATTTGAACTTTTTTTCTTTTTTTAAGGAAAGTGTGGAATCTCTTACCCTTGTGTTTCAGCACAGTATTCTGAAAATAACAAACTTGATCACCAGTCCACCAATTCTGGCACAAAACGTTTAATTGCAAACTTTGTGAGGTGTAGATATTTTTTTTCTTTAAAATATTTGACTTTGTTATTAGGGATGTAGAGGAAGGAAGCATGGAACTGATAAATATAATTCATGCATTGGCTTTGGATATATAATAACCAATGACTTGCATATACTAAGCTCTTGGTAAATATTTGACTTGAAAGAAAAAAAGTTGTGAAAGTGTACAGTGAATTAACTAACTGAGCCTTGCTTTACCAGAGCTAAATAAACATTTTCTGATTTTATCTAGGGATGGAAGAGGAGAACCCTTCCTTCTCTTGCTCTTTCTGAGTCATAGAACTGGAAAATTGCTGTATAGCCCACAGGGAAGCAACTGCCTAAGCCTTCTTATGAAAATCAGCAAGGCCAACAATGTAAGAAAGTAAGAAGCAAATGCCAGAATAGGGTAATAAGAGCCATCAGGGTGGGTCTGTATTAGGCCAGTAAGATGTCTCTGTGCCCTCAAAATTATTTATCTTTGGCTATGTTGTCTCTTTACTTGTTAGCAATTACAAAGTGCTTTACAAATATTTGTAAGAAATGCTCAGTCATGCCCCAAAATAGTGATGACAGTCTTGATACCCTCACTTCTCCCACGGTTCTGCTTGTACTAGGATGCTCATCATTCTATTAAAGACCTGTGCAAAGTCAGGTCTCATTTTCTTATTTGCTAGGTGGCTTTTGGCATGGCAGATAGGAAAGCAAGAGAAATTTTTCATTTTCTGGATTTGATCTGTGATGTGGCTGTGACATGAATCCTTCCAGTGAGTGCTGTTCCTTAACCTTCATTCTTCCACATGTGCCTCTCTTGAAATATACTGTCAAAGTCAACCTTTCCAAAGTATAGAAAAGCCAATATTCATCAAAGAATCACAGGTTTCATAGATAGGGTTAAATTTGTTCATAAATACATTAGTTGATATTGGTCAAAATCCTCAACCAGTGCATTTTTAAGTTGTTAAACAGTTGGGATGCTTTTTACTCCAAGTGCAGTAATAGAAAATCCAACTCAACCTAGCCAAGAACATCTCTTTCTGTGGTTCTCTCTCCAAAGCATGGAGGCTTCAGCATACCTCTCATGAGTCTCACTGGCTCATCCTGTTCCTGGGGCCAGGGATGCCATGTGCTATTTGGGTTAGGCTTGTGTTCCTAAGTAGGTACTAGCAAAGGAGATAGCATTACCCTTGGTGGAATATGGCCCACTGATGAATGTGTGTGTGTTGGGGGCATCTTCTTCTGAAGAACTTAGTATGGAGAGACAGGATAAATATCTATACAGAATGGGTATTAATTGTTAGGAGAAAGGCGGACATAGCTGCTCAGTGAGCAGGCAAAAACAACTATTACAGTGGTGATGTTGGTAACTTAGCCTTAATTTGACAAGTATTCTTATCAATAATATGATTAATCATATATTTCAGTGGAGATAATTTGGAGTAGATAGAGCTTTTAAAATTAGTTACACATTGGTAAATTTAACATAGAAAAGGAATCTAATAAAAGATATGATATTGATATGCAGAAAAATTCCCAATATGATTTTACATGCTTAGAAGAAATTTAATTTTGGGGGTGAAGGGGATTAAAAATTCGCAGTGATTATTTTGTTTCCTATTACAGACTAAAAATGTCACTTGGTAACCTAATGATACCATTGTGAGGAGAAAATTTAAACAGACTACTAGGGATGGTTTGGGATTATGCTTGAATTATCTTTTATTATTCCCAAGTTATCTTTCTTCCCCCCTGGTTATCAAGGTGTTAGTCTCTACTCCCTTGCAGGGTCCACGTGCCTTTCCCCAGGTACAGCAATTATAAAAGCATAGATGAACAGAGAGTTATGTTTCTATTGCAGTAAATTAAAATGGCAGTTTTTGTTAAGTTTTCCAAGAGAAGAGAAGACGGTTTTTTTAGTGGTGTAGGTGGTCTTCAGCAAATAAGTTGTTTATACATGCAACCTATTTATTAAGTTGGTAACTTATTTTTCTACATAAAACTGCAATTTCAGGTAAATAGGTGTCTATTCTCTTTATCTTTTTATTTAAAAATTTCTTTAAGGAGGGGGTTCCTAGCTGGCTCAGTCAGTAGATCATGCAACTCTTGATCTTGGGTCATGAGTTCAAGCCCCCACATTGGGTTTAGAGCTTACTTAGGAAAAAAATTCTTTAAGGAAAAAAATCTATATGTTGTATAAATATGTATATATCAGCATGGGTAGATCTCAAGTTTATAAGGTTAGGCCACAAAAAGCAAAGAAGCAGAAGAACATGTACTGTCATGTTATTTATATAAATTTTAAAATCATACAAAAGCACCCAACCATTGCTAGTGAGAGTAAATTGTTGCCACCTCTATAGAGAGTGACAGTATTTATTAAAGTTAACCCAGCAATTCAGCCTCTGGGAATTTATCTTATAGATATACTTGTGTGTGTATGAAATAATGAGTTATTTATTGCCATATTGTTTATAAATACAAAAGGTTGGAAATAACCTTTGTAGTAGGACAGTAGTTAAATTATGGCTATCCATACAATGATAGACCTTGCAAACATAAAGAAGAAAACGAGAGACTTTATATAATTTAAGAAGCAATTTCCAAGGTGTATTTTTAAGAGGAAGAATAAGGGGGTAGTAGAACAAATGTGTACAGTATACCTACCATTTGTGTATAAAAAATAGGGGCAAATAAGGTATTTAAGTGTAACTACTTGCATATATATATGGAGCGTCCCTTTAAAGATACACATGAAACAGTTACATTAGTTGTTCAGAGTGGGGGAACTAGGTAGCAGGGGGGCATTTCACTGTTTATCTTTTTGTGTTGTTTAATTGTGCAGTGCAGGTATTATGTATTCAAAAGAATATATAAAACTAAATTTGTAGAAATAAATGTAGAGAAGACATTGTTACAGTATTGTTTATGGATTCACACTGTAGGGGAAGATAAACACCATATTCATGGTAGTGGTTGTAGAAAGGAGAAAGGGATCTGGGAGGAGGCATACAGAGCTTCACTTGCATCTGTGATGTTTTATTGCTAAGCTGGTGGTGGGTGGAACATGGGTATTTGGTTTGCCTTTTGGGATGCCTGAAATGTTACATTGAGAAAACCTGCCTTTCTCAGATTTCCACTATAGCTTTTAAAGCTCATCCTTCTCCAGGATTAAGGTATTTCCCTTATACTTCTAGAAGTGGGATTTTTTTTTTTTTTAAGATTTATTTATTTGAGAGAGAGAGAGAGAGAAAATGCAAATGTGGGGGGAGAGGCAAAGGGAGAGCGAAAGAGAGAATCCTAAGCAGGCTCCATGGCTAAGCATGGAGCCCAGCATGCAGCCCAGTTAGACAATCCCAAGGTCATGACCTGAGCCAAAATCAAGAGTCCAGTGCTTAACAGACTGAGTCCCCCAGGCACCCCAGAGTGAGATTTTTTTTTACTCTTTTAATTTTATTTATTTTTTTTCTTAAAGATTTTATTTATTTATTTGACAAGAGAGAGATACAGTGAGAAAGGGAACACAAGCAGGGGAAGTGGGAGAGGGAGAAGCAGGCTTCCCGTGGAGCAGGGAGCCAACGCAGGGGCTCGATCCCAGGACCATGACCTGAGCCGAAGGTAGACACTTAACGGCTGAGCCACCCAGGCGCCTCTACTCTTTTAATTTTAGAGTGGGAATGAAATAGGTGATTAGAGTATCTTCAGGAGATAATTCTTTGTGGCACCTCTTTATTTAAAATTTTCTCTTTCAAAGTATGATCTTACTTCACTTCAGGATTATATATCTGATTAGAAGAGCATTTGTTACAGTGTCCTACGGGTAGACAAAGTTCCCTTTGGAAAGCAATAACAGGTTGTTAGCTAGTAGTTGACTAATCCAATGTTCTTGTGAGGGAGACATTGTGAATTCTGGTAACCTTTGCTGTGAGTGACCTACAGGTCTTCCATGGCAGAAACACTTGTCTTCCGTTTTGTTCAGAAACAGTATCATGGGGTGCGTGGGTAGCTTAGTCGGTTAAGTGATGGACTCTTGGTTTTG